CCGCTGAGTGCCATTAAACAGCTTGAAAGATCAAAGACAATTTTTAATATAACTCCGACTGGATTCGTCTGAAAGAAGAAAGCCATATACACCTAGGATGACTTGAGGGTGAGTAATTTGTGGACTAATTTTCATTTTGGGGTGAACTAACCCTTTAATTGTCACACAATAAAAGACAACATGACAGCTTTACAAAACAAACTGATCGTGATAAATGAATATGTAGATAAAAAGCACTACAAAGAGTGCATTTGAAGCGGTTTGATATTTTAAAATGTCATAATTTTGTTATGAGAGCATTCCAGACGTATTCAGACTGTGGTTTGTTTGTTTCGTGTCTCTGTTCCTCTTTGTTTGTCTGTCAGAGGAGCGGAGTTGTTTCAGGCGACCATTGTGAAGGCGGTTAAAGCCAGAATAGAAGAAGAGAAGAAGTCCATGGATCTGCTGAAGAGACAGTGAGTTCAGTGTGAGACTCACAATGCTTCATTGTTCGCTGGCAACTGCTGCATTCCCTTTTCACGCAGTCCTATGAAATCATGCGCTGACTGATGCATGAACACACATTAATGAGACACACAGATTGCTGCTTATTGCTTTTTCTCTGTCACAGTGTTTCTTATAATTTATCCAGCATTTTTAGCTCCTGAGAGCCGCTGGTTAACCAGTGTTCAAGGGAACAGCTAAATTAGGTCAGCTCAAGCAGACAGGCTGAGGACTCAAGATAACATCTTCTCCGTTTCCCTCTGTCTGTTTCTCTCAGGATGGACCGCATCAAAAGCCGACAGCAGAAGTTTAAGAGAGGTAAAGAGAGGATGCTGTCTCTGGCTCAGGAAAGTGGGGAAAGCCACTCAGGTGTCAAGGAGGAAGAGGAGGATGATGAAGGTATATTTACACAAGAGCATTTTGGACTCAGAAATATCATGTTTTCACATCTCAGGTCCAAAGTAAAAAGTTTTTTTTTTTTAAAGAAATTAATGCTTTTATTCAGCAAGGATGCATTAAATTGATCAAAAGTGCCAGTAAAGACATTTATAATGTTACAAACGATTTCTATTTCAAATAATTGCTGTTCTTTTGAACTTTCTATTCATCTGTGAATCTTGAAAAATAAAATGCATCACAGTTTCCACAAAAATATTGTGCAGCACGACTGTTTTCAACATTGATAATAGTCAGAAATGTTTCTCGAGCAGCAAATCAGCATATTAGAATGATTCTGAAGATCATGTGACACTGAAGACTGGAGTAATGATGCTGAAAATACAGCTGCGCATCACAGAAATAAATTACAGTTTAACAGAGATTCACATAGAAAACAGCTCATTTACATTGGAATAATATATCATAATTTTTAATGTTTTTACTGTATTTTTGATCAAATAAATGCAGCCCTGGTCTTCTTTCAAAAACAATTGAAAATCTCACCGACCCCAAACTTTTTCTCATTATACAATAAACATAATTACATTTATCAAATAATAGATTTGCAATAAAAATAAGTATATTTCAGTATCCAGTTAATTGTAATATTAATAAATCATAGAGACACAAATGGCACAGTTTCCTGAGAATAATCGAAATATATTCATAAGTAGAATACACTTAATTCATATAAATTAAAAATAACAATTGTGTTGTCCTACACACGTTTGACTGAATCTTTGTCGAAACACGCTTTAGTCCAACATCAGTGTCAGTGAACTGAAGGTTCGTAAATTCCACAAGTGCCTGCGTTTAACTGCGGTGTTAAATGCATTGCAATCAAATCTAAAACACATGAAACGCACATACCAGAGCTCTGAGTAAATGTGCGCTCTTTGAAACGGTTTTAATGTTTTAAAGAGTGTTGTGTGATGGGTTCAGTGAAGCACTTCTCTACATTACAGGAGACGACAGCAAAGAGAAGAAGAAAGACAAAAGGAAGCAATGGTGGAAGCCTTGGGTTGATCATGCGTCCAGTTAGTGTCTCCCGAATGCTCATTATTGTGCAACTGAAATAAAACTATTCATATTCATTTCAGAAGACCTCAATGTTGATCTGATGTCATTCGGATAAATATTGCAGCTCAGATTCACATTTGAAAGGGGAAAATCATAAGATTTCTTTGATACCTCAACTGTTTCTTCTAAACAGCAGTGAGATTAAATAAAGAGCAAAATGAGACTTGTTTCTCAAATGTGTTTGCCCTAGAAAAAAACATTAATAATCTCAAATTTGTCTGCCCAGAGATCTCAACAATGTCTCAGATTGAGCTCAGATTTGCTAAAATACCAACATACGCAATCATTAGACAGAGATTTCAATGTGAACTCAATATTTCACATCTAAGCATGATTTGTTTCTGTTTTTGCTTCAAAAATTTTATTAAATATAATTTAAACATGACTGGGCACTCTGTTTATTCGAATAAATAAATACAAAATAAATCATTTTAAAATAAAATAATACATTTTTAAAACAATGAAATGCAAAATAATTAATTTAAAAAAAAAAATACAATTATTTTAATGGTTTTGTTTTCATTACATTTTATTATTGGTTTTATTATGTTTTTTTCAATAGAAAAGTGATGTGTGATATGTTGTCTCTTTTAGTGGTCCGAAGTGGCAATTATTACTTATTTGAGACAGATAGTGAGGAAGAGGAGGAAGACGAGGACAAAAAGGACGAGGAACCTCCCAAAAGATCAGCGTTCCAGGTAAATATTCCAGAAACTTCAGTGCTTTACTGCATGCGCACACTTTTTAAGTCGTATAACTGTGCTTAATTGTGTTGTTCCCACACGAAACTGTGTTTAACCTAAATGGCTCTGAGTTACGAAAATGTTTCAATGTTTTCTTCTTTTGTTCCCTCAGCACTTAACAATGTTTCGTTATTAACCAGACCACTAATCGAGCGGTAACATCACTAGCGCCCTGACTAACCCATCCCTGCTCTGTCGTCTCTTGTAGAGAGCTATCCGAAAGTTTGCCTCTGCTTTGCTGGCTTTACCAAAGTCTGTCATTAAACTGCCCAAAACTGTACTGCAGTATGTAATCAGGGCAGCCAAGGTACTTCACAATGCCTGATATATCTCCTCTCTTCTTGTATGCTGTAGTGTGTGTCAGCTCTCGACAGCTATGGTGCTCCACTGCATTTTCCTGCTCTCCAGTTGCTCAAGATGCATGCATTTGCGGAGATCAAATAGAGCCGAAATGTCTGATTATTACAGTTGCACGTCAATCACCTGGCCGCCGTGTAAACAGAGCAGATACGGTGCATTGCATGCCAGGGAAATGCAGTGTATTATGCAGTCGATTGCAGGAGCATGCAGGGCTGGGTGATTTATTAACTATTCATGATATATTTGAGATAATGTTGCCATTAGGAGAGTTTTATTTAGCTGGTATGAAAGCGTGAAGATGTTTTAATAGCTGATTTAAACATTTTAGAATTGGTAAGTTTGATTCATTTCTAAAACTTTCTAAAATTAGAACACAGTCCATATTAATATCTTGATGCTGAACTCTGGTTAAGCACTTCTTTTATGTTTTATTGATTCATGTAAATGAAAATGATTCAAATTCATTTTTGTGTGTGTGTGTGTGTGGGGGGGACATACACTGTTGATCAAAAATACAGAAAAAAACTGTAATATTGTGAAATATTATTGCAATTTCTTATATTGGTTTCCTATTTTAATGTACTTTAAAATATAATTTATTTCTGTTATCAAAATTGAATATGCTGATTTATTATCAGTGTTGAAACTGTTGTGCTGCTTAATATATATATATTTATATATTTATATATATATATTTGGAACTTGTGATACTTATTTCTTTGATTCTTTGATGAATGAAAAGTTCAAAAGAACAGCATTTATTCAAAATGGACATCTTTTCTAACAATTTAAGTCTTTACTATCACTTTTTATCCATTTAACACTTGCTGAATAAAAGTATTAATTTCTTAAAAAAAAAAAGAAAGAAAAAAACTACTGACCCCAAACGTTTGAATAGTAGTGTATATTGTAACACAAAATTTATTTTTGGAATAAACAAAGAATCCTGAAAAAAAAAGTATTAAAAAATCCCAAAAATATTGTGCAGCACAACTGTTTTCAACATTGATAATAATCAGAAATGTTTGTTGAGCAGCAAATCAGCATATTAGAATGATTTCTGAAGATCATGTGACACTGAAGACTGGAGTAATGATGCTGAAAATACAGCTGCGCATCACAGAAATACATTATATCTTAAAGTATATTAAAATAGAAAACTTATTTTAAATTGCAATAATATTTCACAAAATTACAGGTTAATAGATAGATAGATAGATAGATAGGAATAAAAGGATATCTGAAAATATGAAGATAATATTTTTAGCTTTATCATCCAGCCCTTGATGCATGTGAGTTGCAGATGTTTTTCTGGGGTTTGGTTGTGCCAGTTAAACAAAGGCTGTGTTTTTCTCCTTTGTGAACAGTGTAATCATTCTTTTTTTGGACGAGACCTGACACCACAATCACAATGTCTGTCCTTTGGAGCAAAACATCCCCTAAAGCTGGTTCCCTGTCTTGTGTATAGTGTTGGTGTCTTTGATTAACAGGAATATCTGACGCTTTTCCTAAAACAGTCTGTTTTGCCGGCTCAGTTAAAGGCTGGTTCTGGACTGGAACAGTGTGCAAGTTTATACCCCGCATGTGTATATTTGTTTTTCACTAGAGGGGCAATTCAATTGGGCTCAAAGACTGGTTCAAAATACCACTGAAGTTAGAAAGAAATTAGACTGGATTATAAACACCCAACCCAAAAGCAGCTCACTATCCCACTTGTCCATTTCTTTGTCTAACGTGATCCTCTGCTTCTCAGTTTGTGTATCGTGCCTGGATAACTGACTCAAAAACCGCCATGAAGGAGAGAAGTAAGGAAAGACGGCGATTCTGGCAAAGGTACACGGAGCGCAGCACGAACAAGAAGAACCAGAAGCAAGGTACGATTATATATCGATTTTAAACCAATCATACTCTTCCTCTGCGATCAGGGGATGGATGGATGGACAGACAACAGAGACAATTAGACAGATGGATAGACAAACAAACAAATGGACAGATTGATAGACAGATGGACGAACAAATGGATAGATGGACGGACGGACGGACAGACAGACAGACAGATAGATGATGGATGGATGGACGGATGTCCAGCTCTGGTCTATAGCTCTGTGTTTCTCAGAAAGACATGCTCGGGTCATTAATAGTCATTTTGTAAACACAAGCGCGACTACTGGGAACATCAAGCGCCTCATTAAACCCCTCTGCTGCAGTTTGTAAATGGAGGCTCGCTCTGCCAGCGCTCTCCTGGCGGCAGCTTCCAGGCCCCAGCATTCTTGGGTCTAAGAGATGAAGAGGGCCGTGTTGCATTCGCTACGGTCAATTCATCCCACATGATGACTGGACGGGGTTTCCACCCTCTCGCCAGATTCAGGAGCCAGCTAGAGCCAATAAAACATTCAGTTAATATAGTTTTAAAAAATAGCTTCCCCAGCACACTCACATTTTGAAAATGTGTCTTGACTGAAAAACTGATACATTGCTGTAACAAATAGGGATGCACGATATTAGATTTTTGCCGATATCTGATATACCGATATATATATATATATATATATATATTTTTTTTTTTATATACAGTATATATACCCAGTTTTGACCCTAGTTTTAGTTCCTGTCTCCCAGGAAACGACGTATTCAAGGGCTGGCAGCAGCCTTTGTCCGATAGCCAATGCCGATACAATATATATTTCCTTTTGTTTTGAAACAACACCAAGTCTCTCCTGTGCGGAAATTATAAACAAATGATTTTTAATTTTGGTTAGTTTTGTGCAAAAAACGTTTTTGTTAGAAGTAATAAACTTTATTAAAGTTCTTTTTTTTTTTAAATGAGATTAAATTGAAAGCCTTGAAATAATTTATAAAACCAATCTCTGCTGTGCTTTTTTTTTTTTTTTTTTTTTTTTACTTTACTGTTTTTTTTGTAACTCAGTTTGAAAGTCTTGAAATAATTTATAAAACCAATCTCTGCTGTGCTTTTTTTTTTTTTTTTTTTTCCTCGGACAGATGCAGTTGAAACCTTAACACTTTATTTGTGGATTTAACATTAATAGATGGTCTAAAGCAAAAGAGCTGTAAAAATTCAAAAAAATCTTTTAGAGCTCCTTATATTCAAGTTTTCATAATCCATTTGAAAAAATGTGACCCATGCTGGCAAAATGAGTCTAATGAGTCTAATCTGCAGGCAAAAGGTTTTCACAAAAATGAGTTCATTAAGCCCTCATCTAGCGATCCCAACGCTCCATATGGTTATTAAACATCTAAAATTATCTTTATTTGTACGTTTTCTGAGATAAGTACCTTTTCTCCGCTAGCTTCTCCCACTGACTCTCATCTGAAGCGCACGCATAAAGACGACACCGACGGCGTGCGATCCCGATACACATGCACATAATTAAACAGTAGCTATTTATGTTAGAGCACGACCGATATGGGTTTTTTGGGGGCCGATGCCGATACCAATATTAAGGCGTAAAAAGACCGATATCGATATATCGGCTGATATTCTTTATTTGTAGGCTATATTATAGTACACTATAGTCAAAAGTTTGGACACACTTCACATTCGTGTGTCCCAACTTTTGACTGGTACTGTATATAGAATACATAAACAAATTTTTTGCAATGATAACTCATATGTGGTGATCAAACACTTATAATGATGTGATGTGTATTTAACAATTTAACAATAAACTTTATTATTCAAAATGAGTCTGACATCAGTGCACTTAACAGTAAAATTCACTTATTATAAATAACTTAAAAAACACAAATAGAACAATATATATATATAACTTGAATTAAGAAAATAAACAATGTAACTGTGTAGGGCAAGCAAGCTACTGCCAAACCAACGTACAGTATAGTCAAAAGTTTGGACACACTTCACATTCGTGTGTCCAAACTTTTGACTGGTACTGTATATAGAATACATAAACAAATTTTTTGCAATGATAACTCATATGTGGTGATCAAACACTTATAATGATGTGATGTGTATTTAACAATTTAACAATAAACTTTATTATTCAAAATGAGTCTGACATCAGTGCACTTAACAGTAAAATTCACTTATTATAAATAACTTAAAAAACACAAATAGAACAATATATATATATAACTTGAATTAAGAAAATAAACAATGTAACTGTGTAGGGCAAGCAAGCTACTGCCAAACCAACAGGGGCAGGTTTATGCAGGAAGCACAGCTTTTCCAAATGTAAACATCTTAAATGAATAAATAATAATAATGAATAATATTTTTTCACAAATTCTGTGTTGTGCATTTTCTGTTAATCAAATGAACATGCAGAACATGAGGATTCGTATTTAAATAGGCTCATATCGGCCGATAATATCGACAAAAAGATATATCGGTCGGGCTCTAATTTAAGTATTCCCAGAGACATAAACTATTATGTCTTAAGTGAATTTTTGGGGAACTGTTGGGGAAAAACATCGGATGTGTAACATTATATTACATCTGTGCATTAGAGCACGTCTTAATGTAGGCCATCTGTCGCATTAACAATAATGTTAATCAAATGACAAAAGAAAAGAGGGAATCATTTGCTGCACTTGATTGAATTGCTTTTGTAGTTTTAATAATCAATTTATTTGTAATGAACACACTAAAGTGAAAATTTTTTCCATTTGAATTTGTTTTTCTTACTTGAATGCTTTCGTTTAGATGCAAAATAATAAAAAAAGTAATACACTTTACACTTATTTCTTTCTTATATTTGTTCTTTTTTATATCTGTTCTTATTTATAACAAAAAATAGCTATATTGTCATTAGATAGATGGATGGATGGATGCATGGATGGATGGATAGATAGATAGATAGATAGATAGATAGATAATATTTCTATAGATACTATTAATATAGTAATGATTATTAAGAAAATAATTGGAGGAAAAGATGAAATGTTGCTAGGTGAGCTTCGGAACCTTCAGAAAACTTTAACTCGATTTTTTTCTCATAATTGACTTTGCTGACTCTATCGACTTCAAACAGGTGTAGCTCAGTCATTTTGTGTCCGATTCCAACAACACACACATCATTTTGAAGGTCTATTAATGGAGCATGTCAAAATAAAAATAACTCATTTTTGATTATTTGCTCATTGTGACTCATTTTGCCAGCACAGGTCACAAATATATTAAATATTACTGAATAAATCTGTATATATCAAATTATTTAATTTACATGTGTCATGTTTGTGATTTTTATTCATGTAAGCTATAGCTTCTGACCTTTAAATCAAAACAGACTCGTGAGTTTATGACATCGATACTGCTTAATTTATTCAGAAATCGTGCATCCCTAGTAACAAATCAGGGTAGATGGTTATCATGTGTTTATTACATTGTAATAACACTGTAATTTTTTCATCATCTGCAGTGCATGTGGCCATTGAGGAAGGAGATCAGGAGGAAGGTGTTACAGAGCAGGAGGTATCTGATGGTCCAGGTGAGACCAACTTCAAAAGCCTCCTCATATTATGAGTTACAATCGTCTTATGCATCAGTATGCATATAGTTGAGGTCAAAAGGGGGTGAAAACTTTTGAACAGAATGGAGATGAGTACATTTTTCTTATTTTGCCTAAATATCTTTTTTTTTTAATGCATGGTTTCTCCTTCTGGAGCATCAGTGAGCATTTGATCCCTCAGTTGTCCTCAGAATGAAAAGATAGATCTCAAAATCATACAGT